AATTAGTCCTGATTGGTTGAGATTATTGCACATAGAGGTTACATTTCTGGACTGTTTTGCACAACACACACAAAAAAAACCCTGTAACCCCAGTGTTTAATGGAAAACTGTTCCAGTGAACACAAAATGTTCCAAGACATTTCAGCGTTTGATTTGTCTCCACAGCAGTGAAAAGATGCTGGAGTCCTACGTGACGCCGCTCTTGATGAGCTATGTGAACAAGTACATCAAGAACCTGAAGCCCTCCGACCTGCAGCTTTCTCTATGGGGAGGGGACGTGGTGCTCAGCAAGTTGGACCTGAAGCTGGATGTGTTGGAGCAGGTAACGTATCCTCAATATATTTTTTGCTTTTCTGACTCGACACATTGCTGCAATGCAATCTGTTGCAATAAAAGCTTTAAATAATTGTCCTAAAAGCTCAGTTAATAGGAAAATTGATAAATATGCATTAAGTAAAATGAACTAAATAATGACATATAATTATGGAAAAGTGTCCTATCCTTTGGTGTAAATTTCATTGTGCTTAGTTATGAAAATATTATATTCTAAATAGCGTGTCTCTGACAAACAACAAACAATTTTTGTTGTTATATTAAACCAGGTAACAAGCTAAATCAAATATAATTATCTTTTATGGAATTTCTTTAAATAATTCATGCAACCAAGGACCAAAATAACCAAAAGATAGAAATAAATAAGAAGACTGACATCCATTTCCCTGGGAAACATTAATAGTGTTAAAATGCAGATGAATGGTCATTACTTTCGGAAACACAAAGATAACAATATTATCTATAAACTTTGTTTTGAACTGGTTATAAGAATATGAGAGCTTTAAACTTATGCTTAAAATCAAATGTTTTATCTATTTGTTGAAGCAAAAATTGTGATTTCAGTTTTATTTAGATTTTTTCCCTCCTACCTGCACACAAATACATGTTTGGCTTCAGGGTTTCAATGTTTTCATGTCCTTGATGTTCTCTTGTCCAGAGTCCATTGTCACAGGATTTAACTTTTGCGTGGAAAACTGTTTACTTCTAGTCTATATGCATGGGTCTGCACTCTGGCTGCATCTCTCTCGTCTCTTTTATTTATTTTTTTGGCGACAAACCCTCAAACGTAAGCTTAATACCATAAGCTACAGGGCCAAAACATGAGTGACTCATTAAAACTAAAATGTAATTTTTATGTGATCATGTTGCAGATGTAATAAATTGTTTAGCCTTAAGATACCAACATCGAAAGCAATAACAGGATTAACTGACTACTGACCCTAATGTCATGAAATCATTTGAGGGACTGATTATGAAGCATCTGAAGGAGATCAAAAGCCCCCTGCTGCGTAACTAGTCATCAGATCATGCTGTCGGTTTAAGACTACGTTTAAACTTGAGACTCTTTGACCACCCAGGGATGTACAGCAGGGTCCAGATTTGCAGATTTGGGTTCAGCTTTCAACACCATCAAACGATAAATTTGCCACCAGAAGCTTACCCAGTTTACAGCGTGACCCTCCACCTGTCTTCGGATCACCGGCTTCTGGACTGACTTACAGTATTGGGTGATACTGACAAGCATCTTCCCCCGCAGCAGAACCATTAGCACCTTTGCTGCTAAGAGGTGTGTTGTCCCCTCATTCCTCTTCTCTATGAACACAAATGAATATACCTCAGCTGATCCGTCTTTAAAACTCTTTGAGTGTGCAAATGGTCCTCGATAGAGACTCTACTACATTATTATGTTATTACTGCACTAGTGGCTCGTTTTTTCGACAGTAGGCTGACATGAAAGGGTGTCTGAGAGAGAGGGAGGGAGAGACATGCGGCAAAGG